CTACTACTTTCCATTCTAGTTTCATACTTTGCACTATTCTACTACTTTCCATTCTAGTTTCACACTTTGCACTATTCTACTACTTTCCATTCTAGTTTCATAGTTTGCACTATTCCACTTCATTCAATGTCATTATGAAAAATGATTTTATTATCAGATTTATATATGACACATTTCTCATTTTAATTCAGTAAACTAGCAATAATGTCAAGAGATGGTAATTATACAAAATATCAGAAATAAACAATAAGTTTTTGTTTAACAGAGGTACATGTTTATAGTAAAAGAAACACATATTTTAAATTTGGGTCAAAGTGAACAAAAAACATAGGACGAACTCCTGTGTGCTTAATGATATCAGAGGCAAGAAGTAAAAATAAAGACTATTTAAATTATAAATTTAATATTAGCTTCTTATACCAGATGCCTGTCAGTTGATATAGTTCTGCTCTGACAAGTGGTAATTGAAATATCATATAACTAAACAAAAACTAATATGCAAGGATTTCAACTCTAAGTAATCATGTTTGCCCAAATATCCAAAAACACCTGTGTACAAAGTTTCATTGAAATGTGATGATTACTTTGGATATTGTCCATAAGTATCTATTGAGTGGTGATTAGATTTTGAGATGCAAGTAGACAAGCAGTCTCTAGGCTCGGATAGCTCCGCTGTTAGTAATGCACATTTCAATTAAAGACATGAAAATGTTATCATGAAATGGTTTACCTGTTGTACCTATACATATAATATCAAAGCCATCTAGCTTGCGGTTTTCAACAAGTCAAAAATATCTCTTCACACCAAAAACATACATCAAAATTAGAGAATTGAAGATATCATCACAAAATGAACAAATCTAAGAGAAGTCTACCAAATGTAATATCCACCAAGTATCAAAGCAATCAGACTAGCATTTTTTAAGTAGAAGTCGGGGGGAAAAATAAAAAGTTGATGCAGACAACGACGGACTAATCACTAATATGATTTAAAAAAAATGATATGCAAATAAGACAATTAATAACCATGGATGCAACCAGACGTCATCACTGTCCCAGGGCGAATATCTACCATACACAGACAGGGTAATACTAAATGCTCTTATTTTATTATTAAAAATATACAACTGGTATGGCTTCTCTGTCTGAGATCCATAAGAGCAGTCTGATCCATAGAAGATCAGACAATTTAACAGAAAAATGTTGAAATATCACATGCATTAATTTCCATTCTAAATATCTAAACAATAGTTTTGTAACAGTGAAAGTTTTGAATACATAAGTGGAAAATAGCATGAATAAGGAATTGTATAGAGAAATATAAGCAAGTTTGAAATCTAGCTGGAATTGAAAAATGTAATAATTTATAATGTTGAAATCATAGCTCCACGAGGTCGTTAGTAAATGTGACGATAATTATAATTGTAAGAAAATTCACAATACTAAAATTCATTCATTTAAACAAAGAAATTTATATAGCCATTTCTTCAAAGTGGAAATGTGATTATAAATAAATTTATTCACACAAAACATTTAATTTGATACAGCATACCGCTATATATGTTACAGCATTTTATTTAATTGAAAATAATGACACGGTATAATAAAGAAAGCTATACAGGAGGTGACAATAGGGGAAGCTATACAAGAGGTGACAATAGGGGAAGCTATACAGGAGGTGACAATAGGGGAAGCTATACAGGAGGTGACAATAGGGGAAGCTATACAGGAGGTGACAATAGGGGAAGCTATACAGGAGGTGACAATAGGGAAAGCTATACAGGAGGTGACAATAGGGGAAGCTATACAGGAGGTGACAATAGGGGAAGCTATACAGGAGGTGACAATAGGGGAAGCTATACAGGAGGTGACAATAGGGAAAGGTATACAGGAGGTGACAATAGGGGAAGCTATACAGGAGGTGACAATAGGGGAAGCTATACAGGAGGTGACAATAGGGAAAGCTATACAGGAGGTGACAATAGGGAAAGCTATACAGGAGGTGACAATAGGGGAAGCTATACAGGAGGTGACAATAGGGAAAGCTATACAGGAGGTGACAATAGGGGAAGCTATACAGGAGGTGACAATAGGGGAAGCTATACAGGAGGTGACAATAGGGGAAGCTATACAGGAGGTGACAATAGGGGAAGCTATACAAGAGGTGACAATAGGGAAAGCTATACAGGAGGTGACAATAGGGAAAGCTATACAAGAGGTGACAATAGGGGAAGCTATACAAGAGGTGACAATAGGGAAAGCTATACAGGAGGTGACAATAGGGAAAGCTATA